AACTCCGTATAAAAACATCACACAATAATATGCAATGTGTGTCACTAGCTTACACCCTTCTCAACATTTTCTGTCCAAGACGCTCTTTTCACAGTCAATCTTGCATTGGGAAAGGAACCATGTGCTAGCTATCGCTCTAGATCATTTATGAGAAGCCAGCTCTTTTTGACAAAACAAAAATACTGAAAATAAGTACGTTCCTCAGTATAGTAAGAACACGTAGCCAGTCTAAGATAGTCAACATCACTCAAGTTTTCAGAAGAATCAGAACTTCAATTAAGAATCCAGTGGTGAAGAGAATGCAAAATGCAATAGCATGCTTAATGCAATATACCCTATATGCTTACAAGCAATGCAATATACATATATATATATATACACTAATAATATACAATAAAATACAATATAATATAATGGCATACAAGCAATCAAAGAATGCATATCCCTAAGGATTTCCTTAGAGAAATAATTCTTTGAGCATAAAGGTTATGTGCTGGAACATATTTATGAACGATTAAACGATCATCAACCAAATTTCTAATAAAGTGGCAACGCATGCTAGTACGCTTAAAAGAATGTTGAACATAATATTTGGAAATATTAGCTGCACAAGTATGGTCAGAGAAAAGATCAATGGCTTGTACCTCAGTTCCAAATTTAAGAAAAATGTGCTTCATCCACACCTTTTCTGAACAACAAGTTTCAGCCACAAGGTTCTGATCGCTGTAAGTAGGGGTGAGCGTGGGTCGGTACGGTTCGGAGATTGATAAATCTCCAGAACCGTACCAAACTTTGGAGATCCCAAAATTCGATCTCCGGAACCGTACCAAAAATTCGGTTCGGAGATTTTTATTTTTCGGTTCGGTTCGGTCCGGTTCGGTATTCGGGACAATTGGGATGGTTCGGTTCGGTATGGTTTGGATCGGATCTTTGGAGATTTTTTATTTCTTTAAATTATTTTTGAATGACTACCTAGTTATATTTCAATTTTTATAAGCTTTAAAAAAACAACATT